GACAAGACTAGTCCACAAGTAACACATTGTGGTTTATTGGAAATAACGGTAAAACCATATTTAAGGTATTCATCAATGTAGAATCTGTTTTTCTTTTTATTGCTGCTACTGCCACTTTCAGACGTAGATTATTCTGCACTTCTTTTTAAAAACTTATCCATAATTTATAATTTATCGTAGACGTAAATACGTAAACGGGAATACGTAAGTCGTAAAACACCGCGTTCGCCACCAAAGGCTGTTTGGATTCGAACTGAGGTTTCGTTGCGCATCGCCGCTTATATAAAGCCAAAACGAGGCTACGAGAACGTTCCAGAGTGCCATCTAGTAGTGAGCGCTTCCGCGATTATCATGGAAGAGTTTTGCGATGTAGACACAAGCTAATATGTCGCGGTGTACAATTTGCAGTCGACTTCTTATTATTTATTTTTATTGTATATGCTATTCTGGCAGAAGTACCTACTACTAATTACTATACTCTGTTTTTTAACCAGGAGGAGTAAACCAAAAAGACAGATTCACACCCGAAAAAGTTACTAAAAAAAGTCACCAAATACATCTTCTTTTTTTGTTGATTATCTCGGCCTTGCGGTAATCGAGTAATCAATTTGAATAATAAAATATTTTTTTTCAATTCACTTCCAATATATATTATTACAATAAAATCCCAATTATTACAATAAAAAAGGACGTTTTTCACATTTGATCCCATGTATATATATTTAAATATCGGGTGATCCAGTTTTATAGATCTCTTGAGTATATGGTATTTAATTATAATTTAGACAATATTTTGATCGGGAGAGTCAATAATGTTACAGATCTAAGTATGGTTTTTCACAGAAATGTGTCTTTTAATTTGCAAATAGATCTTATATGCAACAAAGCTATGCAAATGCATGTATCAAAAAGTTAGAGAGTATTCAAGATTTCTGAAATACTGTTCTTTTAAACTGCGTAGACCATATTCTTATTCTGGTATGATCAATTTCTTGAATCTAGTTTTTTTTCTTACCAGATACTTTGAATAAATAAGTGTGTACTTACAATTTCTTTAATGCTGGATTCTTGTTTAATTTTGACAGTGAGTTTGTCCCATTTGTTATCAACAAATAAAATTTACTAAAAATACTGGATTTCTGTGAGATAATCAACAAATCCAATCTATTATATTACATCCTATCACATCATAACCAGGAAGAACAAAACCAACTGTATCAATACAATCAAACTAAAACACAACATTACTTTACTAATATTCTTTTATTGTGATGAAAACAAAATGGAAATGCTTCTTAACAAGTATACACTAAATTTAAAAGATAGTTGCCGTTTTTCTTATGATAATTAGATATAAATAATATACATTTATAAACACTTTAAACTATATTTAGTATAAATATCATCTAGAAAAATATCACATTAAATACTATTCGCATATCACCAAGTATAAAAGTTATTATTAACAACTTACGAGTCAGAAACCGATTTATATATTAGAGGAAAATAATAATAAATAAATTTTACAAATGTCATTAGTGTCAATATGTCATAATTTAGTGGAGTAAACTTGCCTGCGGTTGGACCAATTGCAAACAAGCATTACGGCGCGGAAAATTTGAATTACTCCTCCTGGTTAAAAAACAGACCATAGTGGGACAGATCGCAATCATTAAAATAATTGTATTAAAATAAAATAATTGTTTTTGATTTAAACCTAAACAGTAAAGTAAAATTAAATTTGAAAAACCATCAGATAATAATTGTAAATTAGGCACGCTATTTATGTCAAATAATATTGAATAAATGAGTGGGGGAAATTGGGGGTCGCGAACAAATTGTTTAGCAAAAAGGGGTCGCGGTTTAAATAAGTTTGGGAAACTCTGCTATAACGGATTTCAGTTATTCGAATTTTATTTAAAAGCTTGAATGTTGTTTTAAATAAAAAAAAAATGAAAGTATTTCAATTTTTTTGCCTCTGTATGTTTGAAAATTAATAACTTATTTTCAAAAATTTAGATTGCAAACTTATTTGACGAAGAACACTTAATCATTTATGCTAAAATTTTGTGTGGCGTTTTTTTATATTAAAAATATTTTTGGGTAACTTTATTATTAAAAAAACATTGATTTTTTGTGTTTTTGCAAATTTTGCAGTAATAATAATTATTTCTCAATTTGCAATCAATTCATAGGCGTCATCAGACAAATATTGCTTATCCTTTTAATCTATTAACTGTGGAATAGATACTAAATCATACTAAACCGAATACTAAATGGATTAAAAGGATGTTTTATCAACATCTCACTTATAATAAATAGCTACATGTGGTCGTCGGAAGATTTCATGTACGACCCGGTCCACGATGACGTCGATACTCGCACTGATCGTTCTCATTCTATTTGTATGGGCGAGGCTGAGAAGAATATGGGCACAGGTGACAGCTTCGGGCTTTGGGTCAATGGAAGAATGCGGAAGAAGCGATAAAGTAACCTTCCTCTTTTTTTTATTTTTCGGCCTGAGAGCAAGTTCTTGAATGTAATAAAGCGACAAGTGGGACGTTAAAGCTTGAGCCTAAATATAGTGTTTAAATCACAATCCATTCTTAATGAGGTGCAATATTACTGTTATTTTAAATAAAGTACGAATACTATAATAATTTATATTTTTTCTATTGTGACTGATAAAGTAGAAGTTTACTAAATACAAAATTGTTTATTCAAGTATAACACTTAACTGCGTATCACGACAGTCACTGTAACTAATAACTAACAATTTTTTATAATTTATATGGGTAAAACAACAAAAGTTACGTAACCTCATCCAAATTTTTTCGTATATTTTTATTTATTACTAATTTAAGGAAAAATGTCTGATTTTTATAATTTTTTCTGTGCTAAAATTATGTTTCATCAAAAAACTGAAAAAATAATATATTAGTTTATTGGAATATCTTTAATTTGAATAATTTTTGATTACGTATTTTCAAGTAACTGTTCTTTTAACTTTAAGAAAATTATTAAAGTGTCTCTAACATACTTATTTAGACTTAATGCAACAAAAAGTCTCTGCAAGCTCTAACACTTACACTTACGAATATACCAAAAAAGGGAACAAAAAGCAATGTATTAACTACCGGGAAATAACACTACTAAACACCACCTACAAAATCATTGCAAACATCCTGCTAGTAAGAACTAAAACATACACAGAAGAAATTGTTGGAGATTATCAATGCGGATTTAGACCGGGCCGCTCTAATATTGACCAGATATTCACAATAAAACAGATAATGGAAAAATGCCGGGAGTTTGATCGTGAGCTTCATCAGATGTTCACAGATTTTAAACAAGCATTTGATAGAGTATGCAGGGCCAGACTGTGGATAGCGATGCAGGAACTTGGCTGTCCAAAAAAACTAGTTAGGTTGATACGGATGTGTATGGAACGGTTACGATGTAAGGTGAGAGTTAGACAACAATACTCGAAGACATTTGAAATAAACAATGGACTAAAACAGTGAGATGCACTTTCACTACAACTCTTCAACTTAGCTCTGGAGCACATAATCAGAGGTGCAAGAATCGAAAAACCTAATACAGTATTTCATCGAGAAGGACCAAACTTACTACTGGTATTTGCAGACAATATCGATTTAATAGGAAACACACGATTAAGAATGAAGGAAGCTTTTGTGAGGTTCGAGAAGGAAGCAGAGAAGGAAGCAGAGAAGATGGGGCTCCAAATCAACGAAAACAAGACGAAATATATGTATATGAGACGCAATATCCAAAGCAGAGACAAAATGGGCCAGAACATAACTATCGATGACTTTAACTTTGAGCGCGTTAAAGAATTAAGTATCTTGGAACAACAATAACTAGACAATCACGGATCACAAGAAATAAACAACAGGATTCAGACCGGCAACAAATGTCTGTTTGCCCTCCAAAACCTTATAAAATCGAAACAACTAACACGACGTACGAAGATACAGGTCTATAAAACATATACGACATCATACGACCCATTGTGATGCATGGAAGCGAAACGTGGACGATAACAAAGGCAAACGAAGAGAGACTATGTATTTGGGAAAGAAAAATCCTAAGGAAGATCTTTGGTCCTGTGCTGGATGAAGAATCAGAATAATATAGGATAAGAACTAACAAAGAGCTCGAAGAACTCTACCCAGACTCCAACATCATAAAAGAAATAAAGTCCAGAAGACTCCAACGGCCAGTAAACCTTAGAAGACATTCTGACGAACAAACAGTAAGACAGGTGTGGGAGGAAGTCCCAACTGGAAGGAGACCACGCGGACGCCCTCCTTTTCGGTGGTGAGATAATATAGCAGAAGACCTAAGCACTATAGGCGTGGAGAATTGGATGGAGGTTGCTCAAGACAGAAAACAGTGAAGGCACACACTGAAGCTCTGTCAAATATATCATGACATATGATGAAATACAATCAAACGTGTGCCGGGGTGCAAGGGGTGCGTCGCACCCGGGAGGTGCTTGCTTGGGGGCGGCAAAATTGATCCAAAAATATAAAAATATAAATATCAAAAAAATAAAATCAAAACGTCAAGCAAGCAAAGTGCAAAAAAATAACTGGCCAAATAGTTGCTATTAAGAAGATAGCGTGGTCTTTCCCTGTGATGTATAATATACATTAGTACCTATAATAAAAACAATAGTACCAAAATTGAATGAGTCATTTCGTAAGGAGAAAGCTATTTTTTGCTTTTCACTTAACGTCATTTTATAAATCTTTGGAGAGACACTTTAACAGGAGACAATTCTTTTAATTTTGTCATGACAATCAACTGTCAGTGCCAGTGACAGTAATACTGTTCTATGTAAATGCCGGGTTAGTTTAACCAACAAATAATAATATTCGTCATCCAAAATTACGAATCCTAACTGGTCAAAAGTAGCCGGAATCACGTGTGAATAATTTAAAATAAATTAATTATTATACAAATAATTAAGACATGAATATTATAATGTCATTCCCATTCTTGTTTCAGATGAAGATTGGAACGGAGACCCGGCAGAGTCAACAATATATTTAATGCATCAGCCTGTTCAAATAATCAAATCCAGGGACAAATCACCAGAAGCGAATCCTAGATTTTCCAGATATGCCGAACCACAATTACCATCAATAGAAAAAGTAAACTACCGACCGAACAAGAATGTTAGGTAAGTTTTTCTATTTAAAAACTGCTTTTTAATATATTTTTTTTTGAAATAATCAATCTGTATGGCATATATAGATCCCATAGGTACTCCGTTTTGGAATAGAAACAATGTTTCAAATAGTGTGATTTGATTTTAACCTTAAACGATAACAAGTGAAGACTTTTTACTTCATCTTTCAAAAAGTTATACCAACCAATATCAGGTTATAAAGGTTAAAATTTAAACACCCTATAACAAAGCTACTCGTAAAGCAAGAAGTGACTCGTTTCTATTAATTTTCAGTAGCGTAATGTGGGAGTCAAGTAAACAGTTGATAATTCTAGTTACCAACTAGTTTAGTTTCTTTTTAGTAGATTCATGTGCGGACGGCCTAAAGCTCACTTTTTTAATACTGGTAGCACTTTTGTTACTTTTAATCAATCTGGAAAAATCCCTTCAGTAAGACAATTACTCTAAAGTATAATTAATTTGTCAATAATTATATCTGTACCCAGAATAAAAGTGCACTAAGTCCAAAATATGGATTTTTCAGGAGAGCTGTTTGAAATTTATCAATATGCAGTTTTTAAGTTAAGGCCTATTATTTTTCTTTCTATGTGACACCAATTTTTTTTTGGCAATCTATGATCTATCAACTACTGAATTTCCAGCAATTAAAGCACGAAATTCAAATAGTAATTTGTCAAAAATTCATAGTTTTTATGGTTTTGGACATAGTACAATTTTGTAATAATAGCAAGTCAATTTTAAGGACTTAACATTATAAGCATAAATGTTATGTTACAATTCCAAAGTTAAGTCCAAACAAGTTATGGTTATTATTTGAACACAGCTAAAAAATATAATAACAATTTTAATTGATAAAAAGTTTAAATAGAAAATATGAAACTAATATTGTAGTTATTCAATGTAAGTTACAAAATGAACGGATTAGTTATGCTACACATTGTAGCTAATTGTTGCCAGTCCTAGGGAGACATGATTTGAAAACCAGCACTCTTCTTTTTTTCGCATTCTATTAATGAATTGCAAGCATCAGCTTCTAAGTGAGTATGAGCACGCAATAAGAATTTATGTGTAATGGTTTTCAACGTTGGAATTTTTTTTAATATATAAAAATAATCTATAACCATAACAATGTGTATGTTTGATTGTTCGAATATTTCGATTTTGAGATGGACAGTTATCAGACCATACAATAATTTCTTTTTGGTGAGGTTTAACATGCGGTAATGCCCACTTTAGCAATCCTGATACCATTTCATTTGCACCGCGTTCTAATTTGGACTCGTCCCACATCAAACAAGTAGTAGCAATAATAGTGACATCATAAATTGTGTAATTATACGTCCAAAGTTTTAAAGAACAAAAGTTTTGCTCGTTGGTTAACACTGGTTTTGTGAGGAATTTATGTAAATCGACGCATATCATAATTGTTGTAGAATTTTGTTGTTTTGTGCATATTTTATCTTCTTTCTAGAGTATCTTCTTTAAAGTGTGAACTTTTTAATCTACGCAAAACGTTCTTGATTTTAGTATCACTGACAGGTAATAAAAATAAAGAGTCGATAGGAGAGTGTACATCTATCAAAAAATTCATGGCTATATTTTCATTTATAGAATTAAAAGAACTTCGAATATGTTTAGCTACTAAAGTAAAGTTATTATTGAAATCGTTTGATGTAATCACGATTGACAGACTTTTTTATTTGGAAATTTATTTCTCTGATAATTCATAACTTTCCAACTGTCACGGGATATATTTTCTGAATTGGAAAAAAATTCTCATAAGCCAATTTTTTCTTCAATGATATTGTTGATTTATAATGCTTCTTAAACTTTTGATACTCACTTTATTCCTTTGTAACATTAGCAATCATCTTGCCTGTGGAAAGATTTTCTCACATTAGTATTAGTTCATTATCAAACCAAGAAACTGTAGCCTTACTACGAGTTCTTGATTTTTTTATTGGAAAATTATTTTCAATTAACTTTACATACATTTCGGTAATAAATTTAGCTAATTCTGTTGCTGTTTTGAGAGAAACAAATGAGGCCCAGTAAACGTTATTTAACGAATTTTTGAACATCAGGATGCCATTACTTGTTATATGTCTTCTGTATGTATAAGCACTATGACTATTTTCAGATTTTATTTTTAAGTAGAGAAATTGAGCTAGATGATCAGAAATACATGGGTCCACAATTCCACAACCAACTATCTCTCTGCTTATGTTTGTTAAGATGATGGTTGTGATTATAGTAAATTCATTAATATTTATGGTTAAGCCTATTATTTCTAAAAAATTAGCAGAGAAAAACACAAATAACTTTTCAAATGGATCCAGAAAAACTTTAAAATTCCCATTTCCGTTTCTATACACTATTACTAAAATAGTTTTAATAGATATGTTTGATAGATATATTTGATAGGTATCTTTGATAGATATATTTTTTTATACTATTTAATAGTATAACTATATACAGGGTGAGTGGGGAGGAACGCACCAAACTTTTCGAGTTTTTCACCAAAACATTTGTTTTCGAGTTATAGCGATAATAACACAAAGTTGTAACTTAACATTAATGTTAACTTAACATGTTAAATGTTCTTATAATAAATAAATTATAATAATATTCTTATAATGTTCTTATAATAAATAAATAAATTTTCAAAAATACCACCATTGACCTGTAAGCATTTTCTGCTTCGTCTATGAACATTCAACGTTGCTCTTCTGATTGCGTCATGGTTTGCTCTAATTGTGGCTGCAACATTTTTAATGCGTCGAATTAGTGCATCGCGAGTGTCGACTTTTACCTTGTAAACTTCATTTTTAAACCAGCCCCATAAAAAATAGTCTAATGGTGTTAGGTCTGGAGACCTCGGAGGCCATAGAACTAATAGGACCATTGCGACCAATCCAACGCCTTGGAAATTTTGTATTTAAATGTTGCCTGACCTGACGAGCCAAATGTGCAGGAGCTCCATCGAGCTGATAATACATTTGCATTCTGATATTTAGTGGAATGTTCTGTAGGAGTCCTGGCAATTTATTCTGCAATCCTCAAACGAGAGTAATTAACACACTTCACGAGCAAGGTTTATATCCATACCACCTACAACGTGTACAGCACCTACAACCGTATGCCAGCCGTATGCAATTTTGTCGATGGATAAATAATAATCGTCGTGTTATATCCCGCATACTTTTTACCGATGAAGCAACATTTACCAGAGACGGTATTAATAATAGCCGCAACTCACATGTGTGGTCAGATGAAAATCCACATGCAACAATTGAAGCTAGTTTTCAGCACAACTTTTTTTATACAAACTGTCAAATAGACATTAAATCACGTTGACACTACACTATTATGACAGTTAACTAATTATTAAACGAATCACAGATACCTGTTACAGCAATGTGATAAGTAGCAGTAAAATTACAACTTTGTGTTATTATCACTATAACTCGAAAACAAATGAAAATCGAATAACAACATATCAGTTATTTTTACTTATTTTTACGTATATTATACAGTCTTAAAGTTTGGTGCGTTCCTCCCCACTCACCCTGTATAATATAAATCTAACTAAAGTGATTCTCTGTTTTAGGGAAGAAATCCAAAAATATCTGGAGAGGCCTGTCGCTAAATATACCGAAAAAAATTTCATCAAGCGGCAGAAGAGTCCTGAGAATAAAAATTACGAAAAACAGTATGTCGAAAGGCAGAAGAGTTTGGAAAAGGATAGGCACTCGAAAGACATAGATAAGAAAGAAAATTATAGAGACAATAGATATTATTATCATGAAGAAGATGACAGAGAGAAATACTATGCTTCTGAAAGGTACCACGAGAAGGAAAAACCGGTCAATGATATCTCGAATAAAATGGAAAAGGCCCAGATGTATTTTGATGATGATGGTTTTGATGAAAATATAAGGTATGCCATATTTTTTCACTACTTATCAAGATAAGATATCAAGTTATCAAGATAATACATTTTTTTATAAACTTTGAATTTTGCAATTGCAATATTAATAGTTTCACTGTATATATTATGACAATCTTTGTCTCTTATTTTAGATACCGCCAAAAACAAGACTATGACAAGGAACGATCACGGTACACTTATGAAGAAGAAGAGTATTTTAAAAACAAACAACAGCCTATGCCTAAAGTTCGTCAACGTTATCCTTCGGATGACTCAAAATTTTACAAAGAGGCCTTTAGACATGACAACAGTGGACCGAAAAGTCCCTCTAGAAGTTCTCCAGATAACTCTAGGTGAGTACAGTTAAACAATTTAAATCTTACGACACAGTTAACTTCAAAGGGCAGAATATATCGTTAATGCCTTTGTTTTTCTTCTATATTTTCTATGACCACCCGTTTTTGATCCATATCGACTGCTTACCGCCAATACCTCCTATCTAACAATTTTGTCGAAAATGAGGTTTTTACGCCATCTACTAATGTATAGCGAAATGTATTATGTGCCAATGACTCGTATCTGTACGTAATCTGTAATGTGAGAAACTCTTTGTATGACAATACCTTCTAAATGTATCCATAATTTTCAAAGAAGCAACAACTTCTATCTTCCGTATAACCTATACTAATATTGTGACAGACACGTGTTGCTCCAAACAAATCCAAAACAAAATGTAAGTTTTATTGTATATTTTAGCATGTTTATTGTAAATAGTATTTATTATAAATAGTTTACTAATAACTCGCGTTAAAATGTATGGTTTTATGATGCCATACTATTTTTTTAGTCATGTTTTCTAGATAGGAGGTATTGGTATTCTTGTAAATGTAAAGTAAATTAACTTTTGTATAATAGGGCATATTTAAGATAGGAGGTATTTCCGTGTTTAACAGTTCTTTGGCTAATTAAAAGTAATAGTATTTTGACTGTCATGACGATATGATTATGATGTTAATCTTTTACATTTGTAATGAAATACGTATTTTAAGTCGTATAGATTAATAACTGTTAATATCAGGTCAATAATTATTATACTAACGATTAAGTTATGAAGCTTCGCAAAATAACAGTTAGTAGTTATTGTTTTTTCATTACAGATAGACATGTTGCCTAGAACTCGCAAGATTCTAGACCGTTGTAATGCACAGTTGCCTCTGACCTTACCACCATCAATTACGCCTCCAATTACTACACCATTTGAACAACCCATATCTTCACGAAATGAGGAGTGTGACATTACACTAAATACACCTACACCTACTGAGTTATCAAAAACACTTTCAAACGTTGAACCATGTTCAACACAAACATTTCCATTGACACAAAAAGACGCTTCCTTGAATTCAGCAGATTCAAGTTCTAATTCGAGTGAATTTTCAGAATATTATACAAGTAGTAGTTACCAACCATCCGAAGAAGCAGTATCTCCTTGTTCTTCTCCAGTTGAGCTGCTAACTGACGCAGATGATGTAACATACACCCAAGAAGTTTTCCATGGAGACTTGAGAGAAGGAAATTCACGTAAAAGAAAAGGAGACAAAGGGCAATGGAAAAAAAATTATAACAAACTACTTAGGATGCAAGGCAAAAAATACTTGGGTTACACAAATCCAAAACATGAAAGAATGAAACAAAATAAAATGCGACCGGAAAGAATATTGGGAGTAAGGTGTGAATCAAACTTCTGCAAAAGAAGCAAGAAAAGGGTATGTGAACAGATAAGTGACGAAGACAGAAAAAATCTATTTCACCATTTTTGGTCCGACCTAACATGGGACCAGAGAAAAATTTTTGTATCTACTAACGTCCATACAACAAGTACAAAACGAAATACTACAGAAAATACGTCTAGACGCAGTAATACTCTCCAATTTTCACTACCAGGAAATGATGAGCATGGGAACACACTTCGACGGCCTGTATGTCGAATCATGTTCCTCAACACCCTTTGTTTGGGTTCATTTACGGTTCAATCATGGGTTAAAAAAGGTCGTTACGGTATGCATCCATCACAAAACAATGCCAACTTGAATAGAAAAAAAACTAGTAGGGTTGATGTTGAGATGCAGACTAGACATCTCGATAACTTTTTGGATGCATTACCTAAAATGCCATCCCACTATAATCGAAAAAATACTAATAAACTTTTCCTAGAACCACTTTACAAATCGCAATCCAATCTATATAATATCTATAAAGAATACTGTTCATCAAAAAATACCTCCGCATTCTCGATGAAAAAGTTTAATGAAGTATTTCATAGCAAGAATTTGTCCATTCACCAGTTAAAAAAGGACATGTGTGACACCTGTGTAGCACACTCCGTTGGTAATTTAAGTGAAGAACTTTACCAGCAACACATAAAAAATAAGGACAAAGCTAGAAATGAAAAAATGTGTGACAAAGAAAGGGCAGTAAGAAATGAATGCATTTTATTGACCGCTGATGTACAAGCAGTTAAAGTTAGTCCCTGTATAACTGCCAGTGCGATCTATTTTAAAACCAAATTGGCATGCCATAATTTCACAGTATACGACACGACTACCCATCACGCCACCTGCTACTGGTTTTCCGAAATCGACAGTGATGTTACAGCTTCCACTTTTGCCTCATTATTAATAGATTACCTGGAAAGACACTGTTTATCTAAGCGCTTACCAATTATTCTTTTTACAGACGGATGCACAAGCCAAAATCGAAATGCAATTCTTGCCAATGCACTGTTAAATTTTTGTATGCATCATGGCGTTACCATAACTCAAAAGTTCCTCGAGGTTGGACATACGCAAATGGAGGGGGACGCGGTGCACAGTGCTATAGAACGTAAGTTGAAAAACAGAAATATTCATTTACCTAGCGATTACCTGGCAGTGACAAAAGAAGCTAGAACCCGTCCCTTTCCATATGAAGCTCTGATGATTCCACACAATTTTTTCAAAAATTACGCAGATGAGTCAACCTGGAGATACACAACTATACGACCTGGCCGTAAGGTTGGTGACCCGAGAGTAATAGACATTAAAGCAATTATGTACAAACCTACTGGGAGCATCCAAGTTAAACTCAACTTTGATGATGATTGGACAGACTTACCATTACGACCACGGCAAATACCAGTCATTACGGAATATAAACCTATGCACAACACACCAATACCTATAACGGCCACCAAATTTAAACACCTGCAGGAACTTAAAACGGTCATACCACCTGACTGTCATGGCTTCTATGATTCCTTGCCACATAAATAAGTAAACTTTAATCTTTTATTTTCGTTAGAATGAAATCTTTAGTTGTGAATATGCATTTTGAATAAAATTCCATTTACTACCAACTTCCTTGCAGTTTCAATTTTATACTACCAATTTCTCCTAAGTCAAATATGTAAACTTATATTACTTACAATCACATAGTAACTGTATTAAAATATGAAAAAAGCTATAGTATTTTACCTTATAGAAGCAGGGTTGTGTAATATAAAAAATAAAAAAAATAATTAGTTTTTTCTTCCTCCTGCACAATTTCTATTTATGTAGATAGGAGATATTGGCGGTAAGCGGTCGATATGCTCATCCGTAGTGAGACACTTCCTCTACTTCTTTAAGTTTCATCCTCTATCGAAGGTTGGAAATCATCATGCCTATGCTAAAGTTCTAGTAAACTCATTCCCCTACTGTCATATGACTATATTCTAACTGAGTTTCTCTTACATCTATTTATGTATCAGACTTGTCTCCCATAGATTTGTTTTCCGCCCCCTCAAAGATAATTTATACCCATACCATTACATTTATATTATTTGTAATTTTTGTTTATTTTTTAGGTATTATTCTGAACCTGAAATAAAACCTAGATCCATGCCCAGGCCAACGCAAAAAGACAATTTTTCAAAATCACAGTCGAGAAGTGACAGAGAAGAGAAATCGTTAAAATCCCAAGATTACTACGATGACGGTAGAAAAAATTGCCAGATCAGATCTGGTACTCCTAGTTCCGATGATATTAAAGCACCTAGCGATAGATTTAAGAATGCGAAAGAGAAATTTATGTTAATGGAAAGGGAAAGATTGGAGCACGAGAAAAGAAGACCGGAACCGCCTATTTCTCCGACGAATGTTAAAGACAAGCCATTCGCAAAGCGGTACAATGATGTTGGGTACTCAAACGGACGAGATAGGTAAGAATAAAAGCATGAGGGCTCATTCGAATTATTATTTAATATAGATATCAGTTAATGTATAGTCTAACGAGCCCTTACACAATTAAGTCGGATAAAAATTTCATCAGTTATAGCTGGACAAGTTCTAGCAGCGCCCTCTATGATTACTATTTGTAGAAACAAACAAACTAGAGGCAACATTGTGTATTATCAATTAAACTTTTAAAGTTGCAAAAAATATTGGCGTATTTATCAAAAAAATTGTACGTTTATATTATTTACATTGTATACGGCGCCCTAACGGTCATATTTGGAACTCCCAAAATAATTAAACTATACTCTTTATATACTTTGGTATAAAAATGTTCCCATCATTATATTTTTAGTAGTTCACAATATACTTTTCTGTAGTTTGGACACCCTGTATATATCCCCGTTTTATCTTCGTATGTATACCTAAAATATTCTTACTGAGTTTCCGTTTTGTCATGTGGATCTAGTTCCATTTTTCATTCTGTATTTAGGTTTTTCGGTCAGATAGCCAGGCGGGCTGGGCGGCCGGTTTCTCATTCGCTTCACTGCGAGTGATGTGAGTTCGATCCACATCTCGGTGTACAGAAAAAGAAAAAGGCTAAGGCAGCAGTTTAAAATTCTAAATGAATCTTCGGCTCAGACTAAAATATGCTGGTGTCTGATCGATCTATGGTGGAGCAGTACGGCAAGAGATAAGGGATTGCGGCTCGGTGATACTCCTCCATAGATCCCTACCGGAAGGGCGTGTGCCGCCTAAATACCAGGTATATATATATATATATATATTATATATATATATATATATATATATATATATATATATATATATATATATATATTTAGGTTTTTTGCTTTCTCTTTCAACTATTTTTTGGCAATGTTTTTTATACGTCTTGTGTATTATTTTTACATCTACTAAGTGTGAAAATAATTAAAGGGTTAGAAGCAAAAGGGTATAAGTGCATATTTGCCATAAAATCAATTATGTGCAGATTTGGGTAGTTAAATTATTGGTTAGTGAAAATTACATAGAATTAAAAATGAAGAAACATTTACCGGCAAACTGGTACAAGCGCACTTGTACCGTTTTAGCTTCAAAGGTTTGAGGTAAACTCTTTGACGGTAAAAATATTATCTCCAGCTCATGGCGAAGTTACGATATTGTTTAATTCACGTGCACAAAATAACCGATTTTTTAATTACGCCCAGGAGATTAAGAAAAAAGCAAATAAAAGAAGAAGAATGGAAAATAATGAAAACAAAGAAAGAAAGAACAAGTGGAAAAGAATATAAAACAAAAGAATAGAAAACAAAAAAGATAAAACTATCAAAAACAGGGAAATTCAATTTTGGAAGTAGAACTGCAGGTATGACTGCATGAAAATATCGGAAGATGATGCAATAAGTATTTTTACAAAGTTTATGAACTTCAGACATATGACTTACAAACAAATTACATTGGTTCCTGTATTAAGAAGGTCCCTCCCAAAAGATTAAAAGCTGAGGCACGCTATCACAAAGAATATACCACTCATATTATCCTGACGGGCTTTAGAGTCTGCAAGACGTTCTCTTTGAAACTGTTTTTGAGCAGAAAGGTTTTCTGTAAGCCAATCAACGTGATGAAACATCCACTATGGAACAAAAAAGGTAAAAGAATACGTGATGACTTCTCTGACGTGATGTCACACATCAAAATATTTCCGAGATATAAAAGCCATTATTCTCGATTACAAAATTCTGCCTCCAGATATCCAGCAACTGATCTAAATATCAAAAAGATGTACACCATCTTTCTTGAATTGTGCTCGGAATTGAACAAAGTACCAGTAGAGAAAACATACTATAGGCATATTTTTTGTACTAAGAGTAATTTGAAACTTCACACCTCATTCAGATACATGCGATACATGCGATCAGTTGAACAAATTTAATAAAAATGGCCCCAGTATCACAGTAATCTCACAAAGTAAACCAGAACTGGAGGTACATCATAGAGTTGTAGAAAGTGTCGTAGCTGTCAAGAAAAAGCACATCGAGTATTGCTCAGAACACTCTCTCTCAACTCGCTTAATATGCTTTGGCTTAGAAAAAACGCTAGCCATATTCCTGCTCACTACTAATAAGGTATATTTCCTCAGACAGCTGTGTCTGACACATAATTTTTGCATACATGAAGTAATTTCTGGTAAATCTTACATGTATACTTAACATAAATCTTACATGTAATAAGGTATATTACCTCAGACAGCTGTGTCAGACATATAATTTTTGCATACATGAAGTAATTTCTGGTAAATCTTATATACATGTATACTTGGAATGAAACAACTGCTGCACGAGGCTGTCAAGAAGTTGGTTCTTATAGTTATGGTTCTCAGTTAGATATTACTGCCAACTCCTGACGAAGACGTAAATATACTACCAACTCAGCCCTTAGAAATCGAAGGTGATATATACAAAAATGTTTCAGACCTGTTGGACTAAGATCATAATTATTAATTAATTAATGTTTATGTTATTATGTTTATTATCTAATCTTTAAATACATTTGTTATTTTCACCAATAAAACATTGCGAAATACCAAGTTTTATAAATATATTTGCTGGAAAAACGGTACAAGTACACAAAATAACAAAAACGGGCAATTTTTTAAACAGTGTCTTATGCTATCAAAATTTATGACAGTGCAACATATAAGTTGCTGAAGAAACGAAGAATTCAATTCCTCTCTGGATTTTACAATAACACAGAAACTTTAACATTGAATTTCTATTTTTTATCACGTGTGACCTTTTGTTTCTAACCCCTTCAATTATACTCTTATAATAATAATTATAGTATCGTTTAGAGTCTGAGTATTGTTTTCAACATGTTTTTATACCGTCACTAGCAGTTTTAAAGGACCTATAGTTCATTAGTGGTCACCATCAGAGAAGAAAGCACGAAAAAAGCGACTCATGCTAGCCTGCATTGATTGGTTAGGCTATCGTATTGGACTTCTTGTACTCAGGAATCTCACGCAATAAAACAAGTTTTATAAATATATTTGCAGGAAAAACAGTAAAAGTATCTACACAAAATAACAAAAACGGGCAATTCTTGAAACAGTGTCTTATGCTATCAAAATTTATGACAGTGCAACATATAAGTTGCTGAAGAAACGAAGAATTCAATTCCTATCTGGATTTTACAATAACACAGACACTTTAACATTGAATTTCTATTTTGTATCACTTGTGACCTTTTGCTTGTAACCCCTTCAATTATACTCTTTTAATAATAATTATACTATCGTTTAGAGTCTGCTTATTGTTCTCAACATGTTTTTATACCGTCACTAGCAGTTTTAAAGGACCTAGTAAAAATCCATTAGTGGTCACCATCAGAGAAGAAAGCAGGAAAAAAGCGACTCACGCTAGCCTGCATTGATTGGTTAGGATATCGTATTGGACTTCTTGTACCCAGGAATCTTACGCAAACGGCATTTGACTAATAAGAGTCTTCCATCAGAGTGTTATACAGATTGAACGAAATAAATTCGGAACATAGGAATATAATGTATTTCGGCTCAATTCTGCTGTAGGTGGTTGGCCAACAAAATATTGTCAAATAATTATATTATAAAAATCCAATACTTCAGCGGGCTGCTGGATTCTGAACTCATAAAAATTTAAAGCTACACATAAATCTACGATTTTAATATGCTGTCAAACCAGTTATAGTCCAGGAAATGAAGCATTTCACCTCGCAATTTTTTCGTGCTCCCTGGATTCACTTGAAATTTAACAGAAGGTAGGTAATAGCCTAAGGATCAAAATCTATATCGAAACAAAGTGCGCCAAAGCCTAGGGGGTGGTTGCCACCCCATCTACGGGGTGAATTTTTTTTTTTATGTTTTAACTGCAGGTTTCGATTAAAAAAGTGATTCTAAACAAAAAATGTGCTATATATTTTTTTCGCGATTGAAAGTAATAACTTTTAGACGAAAAAATCCACGTTTTTAATCGATTTTTCGCGAATAATTCGAAAATGGTGCATTTTATCAAAATAATTGTAGAGAACAAATTTGTAGCTTTTAAAAAGACAAATACAATTCATTTTTTAAAATGTTTTTGGGATATAATAGGAACCGAAATACGGCCTATCAATGTTCAGCGGTTTTCTTCAAATACCAAATTTGAAAGATTCAAAATCAAATATCGGGAAAATGATGCATTTTTGGAAGAAAACTCACAAAAACTTTTTTAAAGAGCATAAATAGACCTATCATAAAAAAGACTCTAGCTCAAAAATTGAGTGAGTTATGATGAAAATAAGGTCAATACCTCATTTTTTACGAAAAAATCGATGAAAACAACCCCCTAACCACCCACATAATTAAAATCGATCTTCATCCTTCTGAAATTCCCTTTGTACATGTATTGTTAATACGTCCAAGAAGTTTGACCCATTTAAAATGCTTTGTGTTAGAAAAAGTACAGCTTAAAGCGAGAAACGATTTACAATTTCATATTTTTTACCCTTCTTTTTTTAAATATGACCGAAAATACTGAATATATGAAAAAAATACAAATTACCAAATTGTAGCTTTTTTAATGACTAAAATTATCCTTCATTTAGATTTGTTGTACAATGAATATTTGGCGAGATATAGCCGTTTAAAGCATCGATTTACGATCAAGCACCATCTTTTTCGAGCCCTTTAAACTCACCCAATTTAAAAACCAAGGGTTCCAAAAAGATTTAATTCACAGATTCTTGTAGCTCTTAAAAACCTCTACAAATCGTTTTTGAAGAAACACTCTATCGTTAAAAATTAAAGGAAATACGTTAAAAAAACCAGTGAATTTTTTTCCGGAAAATTCTATTAGTATAGTACAGTACATTTCGGAGCATAATAATCTACAAAACCGGTATATTAGCTAGTGGGGCGTTATACATTCGAAATTTTAAGCGTTCTTATTTTGAAATCCCATACAACAGAATAAAACATCTGCTCAGATGTCTATGGCTTGGCAATGAAAATATTAGAGCCACAGATTGGGGATGGTATTCCAAAGATGGTTTGTTATTACCCGTACGCATGAACAAACAACCTGCACTCGATGAGCTTTTGAAAATTAGTTTTTGGCAATGCAAAAAAGGATGCGGTGTTTCATATGGGTGCAGAAAAGTTGGTTTATACTGTAACTCTACTTGTTCTGGGTGCTCAGGTGAAGGGTGCAATAATAGTCCACCAATAATTGAAGATGAGGATGACATAGATCACGATGAAAATGTAATTGATGACGAATAAAATTAATATTACAATTGTTTTACCTATAAATGTAAATATTTTCAACTATTTATGTAAATGTATAAGAATATATGGTGCCTTTTTATGTTGATACATTTTTTTGTATTTAATTCTACTTTTTTCAATTTATATCTTATAAATTAGTTTATAAAAACTGCAATGTTGTAAAGGGTGATTTTCAAAAGTTGAAAAGTTGCAAAATATTGGCAAAAAATTGTTTTCACCTATAGCACTCATAACAATTGATTTTTAAGGGTTGAAAATGTATGAATTTGTATTTTAAAGTATAAAAAAATCACTATTTAACTAATCCAAACCAAATTTCACTCATTTTAAGATTTATAATATTATTTTACAATTTTTGAAAATTAGGGGTAGTTTTCACCCCTAAGAACAATCAGGGTTCATCGGCATGACATAAACTATAAAGCAGAGGGTGAGTTGAGCTTAATTTCAAATTTTTATGCAAATCGTTCCAAGGTGAAATCATTTTCTCGCATTACTAATTTTTTTATATTAATCTCTAATAAGGGTCGCTTTTTAAGGGTTGAAATATGATGGAACTTTATTCAAAAGCACGAAACTATCATTATTTAATTAATTCAAACCAAATTTTACCCATATTCAGGTTTAATATGTTATTTTATAATTTTTGACAATTACGGGTAGTTTTCACCCCTTAGAACAATCAGGGTTCGTCGACATGACATAAACTATAAAGCAGCGGGTGAATTGAGCTTAAATCCAAATTTTTATCCAAATCGATCCAAGGCGAAATCATTTTTTTAGAATTAGTAATTTTTTTACATTAATCTCTAACAAGGGTTGCTTTTTAAGGGTTGAAATATAATGGAACTCTATTCAAAAGTATAAAATAATCATTATTTAACTAATTCAAACCAAATCTTACCCATATTCAGGTTTAATATGTTATTTTATAATTTTTGATAATTAGGGGTAGTTTTCACCCCTAAAACCCTTCAGCGCACTTCGGTTGGATATAGATTTTGATCCTTGGGCTATCACCTACCTTCTGTTAAAATTTCAACTGGATACATGCAGGACGAAAAAATTGCGAGGTTTTAACTATTTTCGAGCTTCATTTCCTGAGCTATAATCGTTTCCTTAGACAAACCCGTCTTATACAAACAACATTGTTGTGAGACAGATAGTTGAACGATATTTTATACAATGTCTATACCCAGGTATGGATTTATTTTTGTCCGAGTTTTATATTGGTCCACTATTTCAAATGCAGTTCAAACACACATGTATTAAATTGTATGTTCCGTTTTAATTTGGTTCAATCTGTATGAGGCAAAATGATGGTCTGGAGCTTGGCAGCACGGTGAAGTGATTCCAGTCATTCACGAATTAATGCACCTTCCTCCAAAGAATTCTATCACCCGAAGGCCATACTACGGTATGTACAAGTCTCTAAGGTTGGGTTAAATTAATGCTTGATTGCATTAATGGTAATTTTCGGTGTGGTACTGGTGGTGGTAATGGTTCTTCTAAACGAAGAATAGCTATCTACCTGCCTACCGGAACGGGTGAACTAAACGTGTTCCAAATTCCGTTGATTTATTGAGTTAAAAGAAATCCAGTTTCCATACTGCCCAGCGACCACATGCGTTTAATGTAGTCATCGAGTTCCTTTTTTGTCTGATGCCTTATTATCTAAGGTGTACGAAAGCCGAATATGTATTACATGTATAATTTATTGCTTTTTATATGTTTTAGATATTACAACGAACGTAGAGAGCACCATTTTGAAGAACCGAAACCGACGCCATTGCCAAGGCACATTCCTGAGGAGGTCCGATACAGGGAAAGAAACAGAGACATGCATTGCGATATGAGAGAGCGAGGACGGGATTCTCCATTAGTTAGATATCGCCACAACGACAAATACGACAAATACGATCCGAAACGTAAGTCGATGTTTTCTCTCATCGAGGAAGAGCACAGGAAAAACTCAAACGAAATAGCAAAAGAGCTAAAAAGACGGTCCTATATGGATGGAGGAAACTACGAGGAAGACGTAGATATAACACCCAACGACAGAGATAGATACTATCAAGAACTACCAGAATCAGAGAGGTTTATTGAAAACTATTCAAAGTCTAGCGTAGAAATAGATAAGGTTGGGGAGATGAAATACGATCAAAAGTTTATAAAAAATCAGAAACAAAGCAAAAACTCTGCCGGTTATAGGCATAGCTACGCAGAACCCAAATTAAGAATGGAAAAGGACCTTAGGAAAAATTTATCAGAAATGTTACATAGAACGAATAGTTCGGTTGGTAATAACGGTAGAGTAGGTATAGCAAGCGTACATCCTTATTAATATATCTTTAAGCAAGCAACTTATATTTTACTAAGATGTATCGGAGGGTTTGATATTTGGTTAATGAGTATTTAAACTTTATTCATCTGTGTGTTATGCAACCCACAAATCAGTCGAGCTTATCTGGTAATCGGTAAATGTAAATTTTTTTTTATTAAGTTGGACTATGGTTCGTTTTTTAACCAGGAGGAGTAAACTAAAAAGACAGATTCACACCCAAGAAGGTTACTAGAAAAGTCATCAAATACATCTTTTTTGGTTGATTATCTCGGTCTTGCGTTAATCCAGTAATCGTTATCGGACAACCTCATACATCGATTCAAACCTAACTTTGTTTATTTATAATTTTTTCCAATTCACTTCCAATATACAGTGGTGAGTGCCTTATCACCCAGCTTTTTAACGTAAAAAATAGAAAACACAGTTACCTTGTGAAATAAAAGGAGATGAAACTCGTAGAGGTGTGAAATAATAGATAGAAACCTATAATTTACATTACATTACATTACGACTATCGATAGTCTCACACCTTTAGACGTTACCTTCGATCTAAATCACCTCGGTCATAATTATTATATTTGACAGTTTGACGTCGTATGTGTGACGTATTTCCATTTTTTAATTTAGATAAAGTAAAAACTGATTGACCACAATAAAGCAAAAATCTGAATAAAATAATTTAATTAATAGTGATTATTTATTCTAAAGTTTTAAATTATTGACCAAGAATGATTTCTACTATGATTTCAGGAGTTTCATAACTCTTGTCGCAGAATAATTAGCAATCCTTCGTGGATTAGTGGTAAGAATTCGACTCTGCGACGCAGATGATTAGAGTTCAAAACTTACATGAGGTTTTCTTTTTTCTTTTTTTAATAATTTGAAGTTATGCAGAGATCGTTTTGCTTTGAATCACTAAACATTTATGTCAGTCGTTACTAGTATTTGAAGTGTTTAAAGTTAAACATAAATATCTTATTGAAAAAATAGTGTCGTCGTACTTTCGAAAATAAAGTAAAAATTCTTCAAAATTAAAAGAATGTTTAAATAAGTAAAAATTTTACAAAAATAAAAAAATATTGTAAATAAACGTATCTACAATATGTTCAAATAAGCCTTCATTAGCAGCAGAATAATAACCCAAACTGTCACTAAAGAATTATAAAAGTCTGATGGATCAGGGTTCAAAGCACGATGTACTCATGCAGGCGGTTAGGGTTCAAATCCTACACGAAGTTTTTACTTTTTTTAAAATTTGAAATTATGCAGATATTATATCGTTTCGCTTTAAATCATGAAACATTTATTTCAGTCTTTATTAGAACTGTTTATAGTAAAACATGAAAATCTTATTGAAAAATAATGTCGTACTTTCGAAAATAAAGTAAAAATTCTTCAAACATAAAAGAACGTTCTAAATAAATGTACTTACAAAAAATGTTTAAATAAGCAGAAATTCTATAAAAATATTCTAAATAAACGTATTTTATTCTAATGCAATGTATTTACAAAAAATGTTCAAATAAGCCTCCATTAGCAGCAGAACAATAACCCAATCTATTATAAAAGTTTCGTCTAACATTAGTTAATGTTTCTGGACTAATAAGTTTGGACTTGATATATCCCCACATAAAAAAATCACAAGGTGCAAGATCAGGTGATCTTGCAGGCCAAAAAATATCTCCGTGTCCACTAATGAATCGATTAGGAAAAGTCGCACTGAGATATTCACTGACGATGCGAGAATTATGTGCAGGACAACCATCGTGTTGAAACCATATGGAATCGAAAGGAATTGGTAAATTACGAAGGGCTGGGATAATTTGATTTTGCAGAAGTTCCAAGTATTTCCGCCCAGTCAACATACCGTCTATAAAAAATGGACCAATGACATGATTCCCTATTATGCCTCCCCAAACATTTACTTTTTGAGGACGCTGGGTACGAGCAACATAAATCTGACGAGGATTTCCTCGAGACCAATACCGAGCATTCATTGAATTGTGACGACCATGCAATGAAAACCTACATTCATCGGTGAACAAGACGTTCTCTAAAAATTTTCATCTTGATGTGACATTTCCATTGCAGTTTGACAAAATTCTAAACGTCTATATTGATCCCCAGGGAATTGTTCGTTGGATTTATGAACTTTATAGGGTCGGTATCCATGTCTTTTCAAAATTTTACCAACTCTAAATCTTGAAATTCCATATTGTTCTCCGAGACGAGATGTTGATTGGGTAGGATTTTGCTCAATACTTGCACAAATCAAAGTGTCCCTTAGTTCCAAATCTGGATTTACCTCCCTTCGTCTCCGAACTCCTCTTGGAGCGAACACTGATCCATAAGTAAAAAAATTACGTATAATAGATTGAATTGTTGATCGTGATGGAGCCGGCCTATTTGAAAACATATTTACAAATTGTTGTCTAATCATGTTGTCTGAGAATCCATTCACATGCCAGACAACAATTTGCACTTTTTCCTCGACTATTAAAATCATTTTCACGAATTGTTTTTTCAATAAAAAGTTTCTGTTTGCCGTGCAAAAACACTTCTCGATATGTTATTATTTGATGGCTTAAATGCTTCGCTTCGCGCGCATCCATTCCAATGTTGTAAATTGTTTTGAAAATCATTACCTGTACAGAGGAATTGATATTAACATTGAGAATTTAGTGATGGATTTTATATAAACAGTCTTCACCGGATTATTTTGCGAACTGAAGACTGTATGAATTGAATTTGAATTATTTTGTATTTCCGTTTTATAACATTGGAATAAAAATAAATTGTAAATAATGATTTTTTCGAAAATTTGATAATATGTATCATATTTTCTATTATTTTTTTATTGATAAAACAAAAATTTTATCCTTGGTGTGAATTGAACCCCAATTTTCTCGTCAATAGACAACGTTCCTAACCACTACACCAATTTCACATACATTAATTGTTTTCGGACAAAACATACCTACCTTTATTTTAGTCAAATATTTCAGTTGAGTTATTTTTACTATTAAATAAATTTAAAGATTTATAATTTAAAATCGCTACTAATGAATGTTTTTTACTATAATATATCTTAATTTATTCAAGTATTTATTCTAACATCAGAAATTATTAAAATAAAATATTTTTGAGGTTATCCTTATAATTATGACTGAAGTCAAATAGCCACGTCTAACGTCTAAAGGTGTGAGACTGTCGATGGTGGTAATGCAATGTAATGTAAATTATAGGTTTCTATCGATTATTTCCCACCTCTACGAGTTTTATGTCTTTTTATTTCACAAGGTAACTGTGTTTTCTATCTCTTACGTTAAAAAGCCGGATGGTAAAGTACTCATCACTGTATATTTTTTTGTTTTTCTAATTACAATAAAAAAATGCTAGATTGTTATGAAGAAGTTGAAGAATTTTTATAGTTTATTTATCACATTGTAGAAAAAAATTGTTTATAATGTATACGAAAGCGATATATTCGTGATAAAATTATATCTAAAATCCAATAGAATTTCGTTGAATTCGCAACACCTAAAATTAGCACATTACTTTAGTAAGTCTTGATTTTAACAATAACTATTCTGCAAAACTAACCTGTTGTCTTTTTTATTTTTGCAACCATGGCTGTTATTTTTATTTTAGTATTATTAATGTTTATTTGTTTGTACATATTTATAATGCATTATTTTTCATTTGATGATAAATGACCCAAATCTACTCGGCGTTTTTTAGGTTAAGAAGGATAATTACCATTACGTACATTCAACTTCTATTGAATCCATATTGTTATCTTAATAACACTACTACGTCGCTATAAATAGTTCGGAAAAGAACTATTTTTTTATAAATGCAAACGAAAAATCTAAAAATTAGAGGAATATCGCAGAAAATACAAAAAATTTTTGATATAAATTTTCAATTTTAAAATTTCATAAATGTCATTAGTGTCAAAATGTCAAATTTAGTGGAGTAAACTTGCCTTGGACCAATTACAAACAAGCATTACGGCGCGGTAAATTTGAATGACTCCTCCTGGTTAAAAAATAAACATATAAATATCAAACAGTCAACGTTCGTGTAGAGTTAAGGTCGATTCAGACACATCAGTCCCGTCATAGTCTCGGCGCCGAACCGGTCCTATTTGGTCACAGAACTATCAACTATCTGACAGCTGGGGAACTGTTTGTCAACTGATGAGTGTGAATGCCGGCAACATATTTGTATTAAAGAAAATTTTGTATGACGGATTGTTCGGTTCGGCGCAATCACTGTGACGAGACGTGACTGATGTGTCTGAATCTACCTTAATATAGACCAGGAAAATATGATTTATCAAGACAGTCGCTGTAGCTGTTATCTCACAATTGTTTTAGGTTTTATATGGGTGGAATAACAACAGTTATAGAAATCCATCCAAATTTTTTTCGTATATTTTTATTTATTAACAATTGGACTAAAAAGATGAAAATTTTAAAAATTTTCATCTGTAAGTTAAAGACCTGTTACGAGCAAAGCTCGAAATTTGACAATCCTAGCACTTACTGTACAGAAAAAATTGTCCACTTCTAGCATTGTATCCCCAAACCACACAATAAATAACAATCAGAAAGCCCAGTCTCGGATGTGGCCTTTTAAGTTTGTCAGCACGCGATCGCCTTATTTTAAACGGAAACATAGACTCGAATTGAGAAATTTGTGATAAGCTACGACAGAACTGTAATCTAAATTTTTCGAGATTCTTTATTTAATCTTTTCTTCAATTAAAAGTACGAATAAAATACTGCATATTATGTCTATAGTTGCTGCAAATAAATTAAACCAGATGAATTTTTCTATATACACCAGATAAAATACCACTGAACAGCACTGGTTCCGACTAAGACATGGCTGATTCCGTCTGCGCGAATGAGATGCGCGTACATATCTTGACAAACAGAGTGGACATTACTACAGAATAATAAATAATCAGAATGTCTTGTCATGTTTTTTAATTTAAAAAGTTAAACTTCTATCCTGAAATGTGGGAAAAAAACGTTTATTATCGGGCTTCTAGACCAAATAGAGTAAGCGGCAAGCTCGACTGACTTGAGTGACTAATAATCGGATAAAGTCTACACGATTGGCATCTATGGAATCAGTTTGTACCTCATGTTATGTAATTTTACCTTAACCTTAACGGTTAAGTTTATATAAAATTAACAGAAAAATTAAGTTTCTAGAGCAGTATTTAGTAATATTACATTTGTTTTCGGTCTTATAGGCCACGGTCTGGAATTATTTCTATCCCAATTACTAATCTACTGGTCCCTTTTGTCAAAATGGATTCAGCAGTATATTGTTAACTATAACTTCTTAAGCACAAACTAACTGTGTTCCAATCGTTTAAGTGTTGAGTAGATATTGACAAATTTGACATTTACGACTCGATATTTTATATTTACTAGTGATCTGGCTCAAATCTGGTTAATATATAGAGATTCTTCACGATTTTAAGCATTTCTGAATTCTTAGACGCTTGAAAATCTCTTATTTTGATCCTTTATAAAGCCGTCCTTTTAAATACAGCCTGATGATAGACAGAAATTTAAATAAAGGAGATTGGAATCTTTAACATGTTTGTGAAGGCACATAATAATTTTTTAAAGAAAAGTGGTCAAAAAACAAGATAGTTTTTCCATTAAGAATATGTATGTACAATTGTTTTCCCATACTGATTGTAATGAAACTGATTGTGTTCAGGTGTACGCTTCTGAAGTTTCTACCGGTTTGTCCCAACGAATTGACTTTTGATCTGTGATTGACATTTATTTTAATACTTTTTTATATTCTTAGTTCTTTATGTAAAATTCTAAAGATGTAATAAGAATTATAATATAATTACACAG